CGCATTCTTTGGGTTCCAATCCCAGTACTGCCTGTGACTACTCTGTGACGCTGGGTAAGTTCTCTCTGCCTCAGTTTCTTCGCCTGTAAAATGAGGTCACCTGTAAAATGAGGTGCTTGCCCCATAGGGCTGTTTGAGAATAAAACGTGTTAGTATGTGTAGACCGCTTACAGCAGCGTCTTGGATGTATTAAGTTCTTTGGTGGTCAAGAGTCCGTCTTGTCAACAACGGCTGTAGTGTCCCTACCCTCATTGGCTCCTGGGGCTGAACCCGAAATTAACTTTTTCTAAACTGAGTAGTAAAGAGACCCAAGTGCTTGCATACTCCGATTGCACCTCTGAATCGATGTCTCTACGGCTCTATTTTTTTTTTTATAATTTGAGAAGAAATAAGTTTGTGTCCTAAGGTTACTTTTACCAATAACTTGTCACGTGAGCAAACTTCTTTCACATCCTCCAAATTGCACACTTCTAAAACCACGTTAAGATGCATGTGAGCAAGAAGGTTGCGTTGCTTATTGAGGAAAAACATTTGTGTTGAGGCTTTAGGCAAAGCCTAGAGTTTGTTTTAGGCAAGCTTTCCATGGAGGATCCATGGAGGATGCCAGGTTCTGTGCTCTTGATGGCCCCATTGGGTCAGCCGATAGCAAAAGGGAAGGCTCGTGTCCTTCCAAGTGGACCCTGGGTTGCCATTAATGGACCCCAGCTGTACTTGCCTCCCTGCCTGGCCACTTGCCTCTTTAAGCCCTTGGGGGCCGAGGGGCTTCAGAAATCTGGGCAGGTGAAGACAAGCAGTGTGTAGTCTCAGCTGAGGGAGGGGTGTGGCTGATGGCCTTTCTGTTCCCACACTCCCACGGTCACGGGTGACAGCTGAGCTGCTGGGGGCTGTGGTTTCTCCGCGTCATCCTGTGCTTGCTGACAAATAGCACTGCATCGTGGGGGGACTGTGTGCAGAGAACCTGGGGGTTCACCCTGCTGAGAAACGGGGCTCCCGACACCAGGAGATCCTCATTCCTCCCTGGAAGTGCTGCCTTTGAGATATGTCTATCCTGGAGTTGGGTCTGAGAGGCCACAATCTGAGCAGACCTTCACCCACATGGCTCGTGTGCCCACCGAGAGCGGGAGGCAAGATGCCTCACTGCGGTGGCTGGTTCCACTCTATGTGGCCGGCAGCAGGGTGGGAAGACGCCTGGCTCTGAGCCATGACCCGGGACACACCGGTTCGGCATTCCTCAGCTGGCAAATGCCCAGGCTTTGCCGCGGCGTCCCCACGCCGGCACCCTCGTCGTCCCCTTAGTCTCTAATGACGCACTCTAAATGGACTGGCCTGCAAGTACGTCATGGAAAAGTTGGCTCTGGGATTCTTTGTAGCTGAGCCAAAGATCTGAGCCAAAGATGGGCCGTGCAGCACGACCTGGCGAGACCTAGATAGGTTTGGCTTTATGGGCCTGGCCTTCTTGCCTCTCCAGCGTCAGCTAGGGGGTAACCTGCAGAGTCAGCCTGCGAACAATCCCTCACGTTGCCTCACTTCGCGTTTGGGATTCCACCTAATAGAGGAACTCTTTGTTTTCAAAGGATTCCACTTGAAGTCCCAATATTTGTTTGCTTCAGGGATTCGGGGCGGGAGCTATTTTAATAGCAGCCGCCATGTGCTGGCCGTGTATGCACGTGGCTTCATTATAGACCGTCTGTGGCGAATGCTTGGCAGGCTCGTGAAGGGCCAGGAGCACATCCGAGGAGGGCCTGGTGGGGCTGCAGTGGTGTCCGGGGCAGACTGGACATAGCAATGTGGACGGAGCCGGGTGCGACTGTTTTTGTCTTGGGCTGACTCTGAAGGCAGAAGTACTGAGTTCCTATCACTTTTCCGTTCAGAACCTGTGCCTCTTGAGGTTGTTTTCATCAACGCTGACCCACAGTGAGCTCAAGGCACAGAGGAGGGACACTAACTCCTTGGTTTACTCATGTAGGAAAATCGAATGATTCACAGCAAGACAGAACTCTATAGTTGGTTTCAGAGACTTATCTCCTTTTGTGCGGTTCGGGAATGAATCAGTTGGTTGTGAGATCACCTCTCTTTCTTCTTAGTAACTCTGGCCATATGAGTATGTTTGAATTAGTTAAATGTTCCTTGAGCATGTGACCTCAGCGACATTTGCTAGAATATAACTCAGGATGATGGATTATCCTGCCTGAGGCTGGGAATGGAAATTTGGGGATCATGCTTGTAAGTTAAAGCTGTTACAAAGCCTTATTGGCAGAGTTGTAGGACCATGGGAATCCACTCAGGTTAGGGTTGTTTTCTGCTGCAGCCTCTGAAGGGTGAGGAGCCATGCTTCGACCACCAAAGACTTCCAGAGTCGTGTTTCTCAAATTTTTATTGCATACGGATCATGTGGGGATCTTCTTAAGATGAATTTTCAGATTCAGTAGGCTGGGGGGTGGGGCCTGAGAATCTGCATTTCTAACAAGCTTCCTGGTGATGCCGATGCTGCCGGTGGGTGGGCCGCACTTTGAATGGCAAGGTTCCGGAACAGTGATTCTGACAATACGGTGTTCCGACCAGCAGCAGCAGCACCAGGAAATCTGTTAGACGTGCAAATTCTTGGGTCCCATTCCAGACCCGTAGAATCAGAAATTCTGAAAGTGGGGCTCAGGGGCTGGGTTTTAACAGGGTTCACAGGTGATTCTGATGTCTGCTCAAGTTTGAAAACCACCATTATCCTGCAAAATGAATTGCATGTCACCCTTTAGTGTAACATACTCCAATATTTAACACTGCTTTACTGCTGGGAGGTCTCCCTTGAGTCTAGCCTCCCATCATTTAGCTTAATTACTCCAGATCTTTTAGGCCTTCTTGAAGTCGTCTATTAAAAGTCCTAATCATAGAATTTTAGGGCCTAGAAGGAACTTTAAGATGTGTCCTGACTCCTTTTCCCCATGCTGCATGCTCCCCTGTGAACCTTGTCCACCTTTTGAGCTTTCAAAGGAGCTGATGGAAAGCATTAGAGTCAAAGTTAAGTTGAAGAAGTATCTACAACCCACTTGTTGTGATATTTTATCAGTGCCCATCACTTCACCTCTGTCGGAGGTTTGGATCATTCTACTTCCTTCAATTTGGAGTTTAAAGATATTTCTATACTGCCTTAGAGCTTCAACTCCTATACTCGTGTTATTTAAAATTTTTTTCTAAAAAGGACAGCAGTGGGAAAGAATAATTAAACTCTATAGGCGCTTTTAAACAGTTTTATTGGATTTGAAATTAAACAGAGGCCTGGGGAGGTTGCTCCGGGGACAGTGAATGCACAGAAGCTAACAATTGTCAGGGGTTGCTATAGAAGAGGGGAGCGTGGGGACACAGGGAGCTTTTCAGAAGGCAAGAGGCTTCAGACTCAGGCAATAATCCTTGCCGCACGGAACTTTTCAAACTAGATTATATTCATGAACTCTGACTACGGGAGTGAAGGGTGTAAACTCCTCTCTCTATCAGGCTGTGAGTTTCTGATGAATGGGGACAGCCTAATGACTCTAAGACTGAACAAAAGTAGGCAAATCCAGTCCAAACAGCAGTGTACCTCTATTGCCAGGAGGCTTTCTAGTGGAGGCACAATTAAGCAGGAGGTGCCTGGAGACCCTTGTACTTTGACTAGAGGAGCCAAACCAATTTTCCCATTTGGGCATTTGGAGCATCCTTTCTTAGTTGAGTGTCTTGATATTGAGGTGAGAAGTCTCTTTCCCCACCCAGTTCCTGAGAGTAGCTGGCTACAACAGCCATCTGCAAACAAAGGGAAACTGGACACTCTTAGGAGTCTTGAGTCTGGTGCAAGATTTTCCAGTTCCCCACTGCCCGGGCCTGCCCAGCATCAGCCTCTGGTGTCCCACAGACATTTATACGTGGTCCTTGCAAATGCACACAGAAATCCCAAAGAGAATTCCATTTATTCTTAGTTTTCCTAGTGGAGAGTTTTCAGGTTGAGCAAAAAGACATATCTCCAGATAATTGTGGGAAAAAGGCCCAGACAAATGCATAACTACAAAGAACAATTAGCAGGAAACTCACAGTGGGAAAGAGCCTGGTGAACGTTCGCTCCAAAGGACTTAAGATGTATGAATTTGGACAGACTGAACAACCCGCTGATTTTGACCTAAATAAATGACCCAATGGTAACAAGAGCTCTATGAAAGAAATTGGGCCATGGCCATCAATTGCTTAACCACTTTGCCTCCACCCCATGAATTTATAACATTAGAAGCCTTTCAGAGTGGAGTGTAGGGTGTGAGGAAAGAAAGGTAAGGTGGCATTTTCATCTAAGTAGGGCATGTGCTGACTGAATCAGTGTTGAGGGTTCTTTCTAGTCTATGTCCTTACGTAATTGGTTGGTTACATTCTCCAACCTGAAGGCATCTCTGACAGAGTGAAAATATTTCAAGAATCTCAAGAGAATTTAGAGTCAACCTCCAGTTGTACAGGGGTTGACCCTCACTTCTGGAAACCATTCGGGATCCTGGTTTTTCTTCTTTCCAGCACTTAATCCCTCTCCCGTGCTCCCCCCCCCAACCCGCCCACCCCCCATCTCTTTTTGGACCTTTCCACAGCTCGTTAGGCAATTCAAATAACGGCTGTGCAAAGAGTATAGCACGAAAAAAAATGAGTGAAACTAATATGTATAAAATTGACTCATTAATCCTGAATCTGGCATCGGTATGGACAGGAAGAAATTGAGACTCTTGGCAAATGTGTTATTTTGGTTACTGATAACTGTCCATCAATGAATTGTTACTTGCCTATCAACACCTCGAGTAACGTTTCTTTGAGTTTTTTTGTGATTATAAATGTTTTTACGATATGAAGAATGTGCCTTTAGTTTCACTTAGACAGACCATAAATTTGCCCCGAATGATCAGAAAATGTAATATCTGTACTGCTAGTCCCCCTGTGCCTAGCCAAATGGATCATTCTCCCCACTCCCAAACCCTTGATGAATCAAAACAGCAAAAACGTACCTGTCCTGCCGTGTCATACAGTCCGAGCAAATGTTGCTTGCCTCCCACTGTCACAGTCACTAGGGGAGAAGAGAAGAGGAGAGTCCATAAATGCGAGCTTCCATCAGGAGGCTTCACATGTCTCCATGCCAACATCTTCCTGGGAGGCAAGGATAAGCATATGCCTCACCCATGTATATTCTAAACCAAGCCGACAGCATGATTTGCAAGTGAAAGGCAACCTTGGCCTGCAGTGAGAGCAGATGAGCTCAGCCAAGTCCAAATTTCTCAACTGAGATGAATATCACTTGTGCCACTAGGACGCTCTGTAGGCTACTCATCGATCCCCATTAGGCCCTGGAATATCAAGATCCTGAAGCAAAAGGATGCTGGACCCTTTCTTGGTTAGGGTATTTTTTCCTTTTCCTTTTTTTTTTTTTTTTTTTGTTGGAGCCACCTTTCAGGATACAGAATCGTGTAAGCAACTTCTCCGTTTGAACTCTCTCTGCTTCTGTCTGTCCCTGAAATATTGATTAAGCCACAAAAGCACAGAATAGTAGCCCACTGACATAGTTTAGAGTCTATAAGGCAAAGCTAATAATGAAACGAGAAGGGCTTCACCTTCATTTTAAAAAGGTTATTTTGGTTTGTTTTTTTTTTTATTTAAAAAAAAATTTTTTTTAATGTTTATTTTGGGGACAGAGAGAGACAGAGCATGAATGGGGGAGGGGCAGAGAGAGAGGGAGACACAGAATCAGAAGCAGGCTCCAGGCTCTGAGCCATCAGCCCAGAGCCTGACGCGGGGCTTGAACTCACGGACCGCGAGATCGTGACCTGAGCTGAAGTCGGAGGCTTAACCCACTGAGCCACCCAGGCGCCCCTGGTTTGTTTTGTTTTTAAATTGAATAGTCCAGTGCGTTAGCCCAACTGATTTATTACGATTTTGAACCTCAGTTGCCAGAGGAGATGTTGCACGGGTTCGCTTTCACATACCTAAAGGGTGCATATAGAGGGAGAAGTGGGCAGTTTGATTTACCCAGCAGGTTCACTGCCTTGCCAAGCAATTGTGGCCAAAAGTGAGAAGTGATATAGGGACACCCACTACTCTGTACATGTCTGGAAATGAAATAAAGTCTCATCTTGAAACTCAACTCAGATTGAACACATGCAATGCAAAAGCAATACAATTCTCATGATGAATGAAAAGAGCCAATTTAAATTCCAGCCCCTCCCCCCGCCCCCCCCCCCCCGTTTAATCTCTTTTTAGAAAAAGAAAGTAAAGTATGTGGGAGAATGTGATTTTTTTCCCCCTACTTGATCAAAAAATGTGCAAATGCAGGGAAAGATGATTTTTGGCTCCTTCTACCCTTCGCTGTATAGGAAAGACAGACAGACGGCATAGCAACCTTTATCACTGTATCTCCTACAGAGGCTGGCCAGATTCTCCAGTCTGCTCAGAGTTGCTGATTCTGTTATGCTGTTACCTTTATTTGTTTTCAGGTTCCCGGACTACATGTATGCTAAGTACTTCTCAATGGCTCATTCTTTGAAAAGCACTTGTTTAAAAGCGCTGCCTCCCTAGACCCCAGGAACGATTTTTCTAATCTACTCAGATCAACATGGGTTCAGCTTGATAACATGGCTGTAGCCACTGCGACGAGCTTTCAAATTGTGTTTTTAAGCAGTGAACCCCGTTCCATGCATCCCTGGTGCCGATGCTGACAGAAGAGGGGGCATTCAAACATTTTTATTTCCTTTCATATTTCCAGAGCTTTGTTCTGTTATATTTTCCTCTTCCTGCATGCGTGGAGCCCAGTCAGATGTTCCTGAAATCTGCCTACATGGTTTCTTTAATGACCAAGTCACTACCTAGTCATGGATCAGGAATGAATGGAACAAATCCAGCCATTACAACATGGAATTTCCTGCCTCTGGTGAGCCCAGTACATGCAGGTCAGGGCCAGCTGTTCTGGAGACCCTCTCGGAGCCTCCCACGACCTCCAAGCCCAGAGCCATCTGTGGAGTGAGGCCCAGATGCCTAGTTATCCTCATGGCCTCTTTGGGCCCTGCATATATTCCCAAGCAATGGCACTGACCTTTGTCATGGGGGCGCTCTTGGGGTTTCCCTCCAGGCTGCTTTCCCTCAGGCCCCACCCTTCTCTCTCTGGGTACCTTTGACTGCAGGGACTTGTACCAGGCCTGTGTGAGTGCCAGCCCAGTGAGTTTGGACTGTGGAATGAGAGTCTGGGCATAGTTTTCCCTTCTGTCTGTCCTTCTCTCACTCAAGGGTTGATCGGGTTCCTAGACCATGCTCAGTGTTTGGTGTGGAAAGACCAGATACAGTTCCTCCTGTCATGGGGCCTGGGGAGGAGGGGTTTAGTGGCAAAGCCTGGGCACCACGCAATGTAGTAAATGCTATGTCGTAGCATGGAAGGGTGTGGGAGCACACAGCAGGGGTATTACTGTATCACTATGCATGTGTGCATGTGTGTGGGTGCTGGTGGCGTGTGGGAACATGCAGGGGGCCCTACTGCATGTGTGTGCATGTGTGTGATGTGTGCGTGCACACACCCCCACGCACCTTCTCTGCTGGAGCTTCATCAGAGAAGGCTTTCTGGAGGACATGTCTAAGCTGAGTCCCACGAATGGCCAAGAGTTGCCCAGGGTGCACTGGGGAGGGGCAAGGGGTGGTTCACCTGCTACCCAGGGTGCACTGGGGGAGATGGAGCCCCATAGGTGAGCATGGAGGGCTGTCCTGACTCACTAATTTAGACATTTTTGCTGAAGGCTTTGTTAAGCTATGAAATCCAGAGCTCTTTTCTCCAGAGAAAATGAAAGAGAAGGAACTGAAATAATTTCCTTGTGTTAAGGCAAAGTGGTGGGAGGAGAGAGGGTGGCATTTTTTGGGCAGAAGCCGTGTTGGCTTTCAGCTTTGCTGTGTAGGGACTGTCTAGTCTGTGTGTTTGGTCAGCCCTGGTAGAAAGAATCCTAAAGAAAGGGGCAGAGCCCCTGGAAGGCGCTGTTATTCTCTCTTTTCTGCCCTCCTATTCTCCTATTCTATTGGAAGGAAGATGAGGGGCGCCTGGGTGGCGCAGTCGGTTAAGCGTCCGACTTCAGCCAGGTCACGATCTCGCAGTCCGTGGGTTCGAGCCCCGCATCAGGCTCTGGGCTAATGGCTCAGAGCCTGGAGCCTGTTTCCGATTCTGTGTCTCCCTCTCTCTGTGCCCCTCCCCCGTTCATGCTCTGTCTCTCTCTGTCCCAAAAATAAATAAACGTTGGAAGGAAGATGAGTGGATCACACAGATGATTCTAAGGAAGACCGAGGGACAGATCCGAGCATTAATCACGCCTTGTGGAGATTGCAAATGGCTTTGTGAGTCCGTATCTCAACGTAGTAGTGGATGCCTTATTGCTTGCTATCTTGTATCCTACAAAGTTCCTTGATTTGGAAACAAATCAGTCACAACAGCACAGAAGGAAGACATGCCCCAAAATGCTAATAGTAAATGTAGTGAGGTTGAAAGAGCAGGATCTTTTAAGTCAGATGGTTCTGTGTTCGACACCTGTCTCTGCCATTCACTATCTGAGTGACCTTCGGAAAGCTACCTAACATCTCTGAGCCTCTCCTTTCTCATTTGTTAAAAATGGGAATAACATCACTTCCCAAAGAGAGCAAATTAAATGAGAAAATGCCTGGTACAGAGGCTGGCCCATAGTGAGTGCTCCACAATTGTTACCTTCCCTCCTCGACAGATCTTTCCTGAACCTTTAGTAACGACAAGAGCCAGTCTGCGCTGCTCCACTGTATATGCAGTGCATATTAACTGGCACAAAATTTCATGATATTTGTGAATTACTGGTCACTTTCTACCCCAGATGATAGCTGTTTAGATCTGTGTCTTGTATCTCCTACTGGATCGGAATACCCTTGAGGACAGACTCTCCATGCTTCACATCCTGCAGAACACACAGCACAGTTGCTGGTATATGCAACAGATGCTTAACACACAGTATAGGAATGGAGCACCAGAGGTGACTCAGGCAAAAGAAAGTCCTTCCAAATGTGCAGAGCCGCGCGCGGCTAGAAGCTCTCTGGCAAGACACTAATGCTGGGAAGCGCCTGCAGCCAGCAAATCTGCCTGGCAGACAACGTCAGGCTAAAATCCCAGACCACCTTCTATTCTTGGAGCTATTAGAGTTGTTTACTGAGCTTAGAGAGGCTTTCAAGAGAATGGGTCAAAGGACCTGCTAAGGGCTCAGATGGTTCTCTCAGTAGAGTGTGAAAAGTTGTCAGTGACCTGTTAAGTATGTAAAATGAAGGCTGTCTTCTCCAAATCCATTAAACTCTTTGCTTCCTTGTGTTCCTCTGTGCAGATCGGAGTGGTTAATTTTGTGAGCTGGAAGAGGTGCTAATAAAGTCTAAGTCAGGGGTTTGCTCTCTGGAGGGTCGGCTAGCTTCACCCAGGCAGGCTCTGAGCCTTCTCCTCTTGACATTTAGTCACCTCCTGGCACCGAGTGGATGAGGAAGTGTTGGCCATTCCCTGTAAACCAGCTCAAACCGCCAGCCCAGCCCAGCACTAGGAATCTGATCCAACGTCCCTCCCCCTGCTATGTGGTGGACTGGAAGGTCTCATCTGCCAAGAGCAGTCTTTTGAAGTCAATGTGATGAATATATGATGAATCCAAAGGACTGGAATCGTGAAAATTCCAGGTCAGGAGGGAGCTTCCGTTCCTTTCCCAGCACATGCCCTGCTCTCTGCATCGCTCATGTTGAGCGTGCTCTCTTGGAGGAGGTAGGATGAGGCAGATTTGAAGAGGTGTGTGGATGTGATACCTTAAAGGTGCTGTTTCAGAGGAAGAAACACTAGAGGATATACATGGCAGGAAACAGAATTTTAGGCAAGTTAAAAACATGGCTCTCAGCTAAATATAGGATGAAGATATGTCAAAGTTTTATTAACTCATTGATGAGAGAACTAGTAAGATGATAAATCTTGCACAAGGAGCGTTTTGAAGAGCTGACATTTATAGGTACTTAAAAAGCAAAATGTTGACATGAGGTGACTAGCTTCACTAGGAG